TTCTTAGGTAATTGTGGAAGTTATTCCAATCAACCTTGCGATAGTTTCTACGAAGTGTTACGGTTTTACTTCTATCGGTTGTGGTTTTTACATTAAGGCTGCATATGAAAATGTTATGATCACTACCTGGGAACTTTTTTCCAATATACAAAGTATTGGGGATGAGGCCACTGGTAAAGACTAAGTCTAAGATGTTTTGATGTCTGGTAGGGCTATCGACATACTGAGTCCATTGTCCAAGCTCTAGACATTCAATAAATGATTCATAACGTCTCGTCGCTTTGACTGGCAGCCAAGAAATTTCGGGCATATTGAAGTCACCACAGATGAGCTTGCCTGTGAATGAGAGGGATGATGCTAGTGTGAATACCTCCGATAATACTGCTATTTCATCTATTGATGCGTTAGGTTGACGATAAACACAGCCGAGCAGTAAGGTAACGGAATTCGACGGCTTTAATACAATCCACACCGAATCCTTCAGTTTGTTTAGTTCAGGCATACCACATAGCAGTGAGTTTAGGCGAGAGCGAGCGTAAATAAGGCATCCTCCGCCTCGTCCATTCAATCTGTCGCTTCTATATAGAAAATAGTTATCAAGAGATATGCTTTGGTCGGAAATATTACTGTTAGTCCATGCTTCAGATATCATAATAAGTGATGGTTGATATATGGATACAAACAGGGCTAAATCCGTCTTTTTGTTGCAGATCGATCGAGCGTTGATAAGACATATATTAAGCAAGTGGCCTACTAAGTTAAAATGGGTGAGGGTATCTCGGATAAAGTCGTCGTGAAGGATTGTATGTTCTTCGTTGGCTCCGTATTTTGATAGCTAGATTTAGTGGGAGATGTATCAAATGAGCTAGGGGAGTTGTTTAGGAAGTTTACCCAGGAAGAAAGGGTGGGAGTAGTCTTTGATGAAAACTGTACGGAGGAAACAAATTTATGGTTTGCATGTGGTTTGAAATAACTTGGGCTACATGCTTCAACAGAGGTGTCACTAGGGGTCTTACTCCAAAAAAATCTTGTAAAGGCCTACTGTGAAGTGTATGGTTATTTACAAAATAGTCTTGATGGTTAGACTCGTAGCCCCTGTTATGGCTATTTAAGTTAGCGTGAGAGGGGTCTGCTACGCGTAACTGGGAGGAGTTGCGACTGTTGTTATACATGGGAGCCGTTATTATGTGATGGGTTGGTACTAAATGGTGTGAGAAGTTTTCTTCCTGAGAGTAATTACAGTTGCGATCCTGGGGAATGTAGGTAGGGTGTGGAGTGAGAAACCTATTATTACCATTCTTATTTATGGTTTTAGGCTTCAGGAGGTAATTTGGGTGGCCAGTTCTCTGGTAGTTTTCGTTAGTCTGCGTGTAAGAAGGCTTGTTACGCTGAAGCCCACCACCCATTTCGCAACTTCGAGGTGTTGAAGGCAAGTTATATGATAGCAGTGGGGAGAATCCGTTCAACGTTCTTGGGATACTTATAGAGCAGTTGAGTTCAATCTTACGTGTTTCCCTATTCGGTATCGTGAGTCTTGTCTTCCCACCCTTTATTTTCAGAGCTGAAGTCTTTCGTTGTCTCTGTGAGATGAACTTAAGTTCATTCAAGTCTACTTGTGGAATATCTTTAGGAGGACAAATTTTCAGGTGTACAGGTTTAGTTGGATGTGTGCTGTTACACGACTCACATTTTAGTACATTAGTGAACGAACAGCTGGGATTAGTCATGTCGTTATGGTTTTTGGTGTCAGTTGGGGTCCGTATCTTATCCAAAGGTTTCTGATTTGTAGACTCATCTAGATCAACAGAGTGATCAGCCGTATGTGGAGTGGTGTCATGCTTACTGTTCGTGTGTTTCAAACTATTTGCTGTGTTGCAAACTGTCTCTGGCTGATTATTAACTGTAACACTCCCATTCAATTCTATCGCTTCGCGTCTTCTTACACGACGTTGACAGGGCGTAAGGTCTGGAGTGACTTTTATATTCTTGTATGGAATTAGTGAGCTTATATTTTTGCTCAAATTAATAAACTGCTTAGCATCGTTACAACAGCCAAACATAAACAAAAGGGGGCAAGTCGATCTGTCTGACTTTTTTCCAAGGCGAATGACTTTGCAGTTAACGTTCGGAATACCGCATGCTCTAAGGCAAATATCCCTTAACTTAGATGGGTGTGTGCGGTCGGGGAGGTTATACACAACTGCATTGTAGGAGGACATCACTCTCTTCGTCACTTCTTCAGCCACAAACTCCAAAATACACTCAGCTTTAGTGAGTTGCTCAAGATTTCTGTCTGTGTCAAGGCCCCATATATGAGCGAGGGGTGCTAATTGTTCAAGTTTGCCGTTAATTTCGGATAGAGAGTTTTGTAGCTGTCGGATGTCATTACTATATCTATCACTATTTTCGTGTATGAGGTCCAATATTGGACCATTTAGTTTTTGAAATTTTAGATTTAGGCCTTGGTAGCACATACTGTCTAGTAGACTGTGCTGACTTTTCAATGCACGTAGGTATAGTGTCTTGTATGTCAACCAGTCTTACCGTTGGCATACTGCACGTAGAGATAGAGGGGCTGCGACATGGAGAATCTGGTGACGATAGAGACATTTGTGTACAATACACATATTTTTCAGTAGTTAAAGGTTCGACATTGTCAAGCACTGAGTCGTCAATTGTAGGGGTTACAGATTTGGACCTTTTATTTGGTTTAGAAGTTGGTGAAATTTCTCTTTTACTGGAGTTATTGGACATGATATGAGAATAAGTGAGCACAGTGCTCGTTAAATTAAAAATAATATCTGAGTATTAGTTGTTATTAAGTATCAACCTGGTTAATACTAAAATTAGAGACTGTGAGTATATAATGAATTGCAGATCTATTTACGACTTAAGTCCGCAATAGGTACAATACGAACTGGTAATTGTCCGTCGGATAAAAATAAGTTTTTTCTTATTTTTCGGGGTAAGATCTACCCGATGTACAGGATAGGATGATAATCACAGTATAATACACCCTACAAAAGAACAAGTCGAAGAATTCCTAAACCACGTGAAAAATGGCACGGACTAGCGGGTAAGCCAGGGATTTTCGCGCACACGTTACATATTGTCGTGGATTTTTTGTGTCGTTATTTATCAGCTATTAACAGGCTTTTTTGCATGACACATCAATTTCTGTATTGCTAGTGCTTGTAACATAGTTTTATTCCAATTTATTGGCAGTTTGACGTATTTCTTGCTCACCACGTAAGTAAATCTGAAGTTAGCTTAATATAGTTATTTGTAACAATACAAACTCAAGCAAGTAAAGTTCACCGTTTTTCTAGTCAAAGAATACACCACAGATTGAGTTTTAATGAAAATTAACCGTAAAATCTTTTACATATGGTTCACCTCCTTGATTGCGGTGACGGTGAACATGGATGTCGGTAGTTGTTTATAAAATGTAAGTAGAAGCAATCAAGCGTTAACCTAATTGTGAATATTATATAACTTGCTTGTATTTAGCCATAAAAAGTTATATTTATTAGAGGTACCATTGTTTTGTACTGAAGTGACATAATTATGTAACGTATCTGAGAAAAGAAATATGTGAGTAACAATTGACGTTTATAGTGTTGTCCAGCGGCTTTCTGAACGTCTGCAGTAATAGTGTATAACACCACATCAAGTAGGAACAAAATCTTCATGAATAAAACGATCGGTGTTTCCTGTGAGAATGGTGACACAACCATGTTTTTTAGTTAATACTGATTTGTGAGGTGTCTGTTATAGGGTTCACAAATGAGTTATTATATACTCTTCACTCCGTCTCGGTAATACAGTTGTTGTGTTACTTAGGAAGTTATGAATGAATGTCACTACTTGTTAATAAAAGACTTATAGGCACAGTCTGTTACTTGCTATTTGAATAACTTATTGAATATGATACTGAGAACAAAGTTTAATTGTTTGTCTCAAAACGGATTTGTTGGTTTTCAGAATAGTATGAAGCTTATGGAATTTAGGATTACGGAAGATCGTGTGGAAAACCGGTTTACAAGTTTACGATAACTGTTTTATATTACCTACTGCTATGCTCATTCATCTAATGAATTATTTAAATATAAATATAACAACCATACGCAGTGTTTTATATTATAAATCCTGTAAGTTTGTATAATTCTGGTCTAAATAAAGCCAAAACAAATATTGATGCAGAATCATGTGACTGCATTACATTTCGTGGTTTCTCATAAGTTGCATACAACTGAATATGCATTATAATTTAAGATTGAGGGAAGAAATAGTATAAAAGATAATAGAAAGCAAAGAATTGGAATGACCTAGGTTATCAATAATAACTATACATATGTATATGCTTGAACAGGTCAAAGGTCATTTGGTGTTAGACTTAAGGGAACATAAAGGATGGGTGGTGTAATAGTCGAGTGAAGCTCAGAAGCATATAAGATAAATTGTGTGATAATTCTAGATGTAATGAATAAATCAGTGAATTAAGAACTAATAAGATAAGTGAAGACAATCTGAAGAGTTAACATAATTTAGCAAAGAAGTGTGAGTGGAAAGATGGTCTAAGGATTACGTAATCCATCTTATCAAGGAACTAGCTGCATGAAATTGTCTAGTTCCATACTAATACTAACTTGATAATGGACGTAATCTGACAACGGAAAATATGTAAGGCGGTTTAGTCTGTAAGGTTTTACGTGGAAGTCGCATTATTGTTTTATTTGACTCGTTGATTCCTCACAATGAACAACGATATAACGCTAAGTTCTAACGACAGTTCGTAACTAATACAGTAGTACAAATTCTTAATTTTCACACACAATTATTCGTTAAAGCGATTGGTAAACCTCCCCATGAAAGTATGAAGAAGACGAAAATAAAAAATGAGAAAAAGTTTATTGATTTTTCATGACTATTAAAGTGGAAAGATAAGTTTACAAGTTGTATAAATAGCCACAAAGAACTGTTAATCGTAAACCTGCTGTCTAGCTGTTTATAATTCTTAAGTAAAAATTGTAGACTTTTCTCTCCACCTGATCCGCGAAGCGTTCACCATATTTCTCAACAATTTGTTGTTTGCACATTCTTTGGAGCCGTTGAAGTTGTATATATTCTTTACTCCGTCTCGGTAATGAAATTCCTGTGTTGTTTTGTAAATTGTGCGTATTGTCTAATTTCCATCTGCAGCAACACCTAAGAAGTTGATGAGCTATGCAGTTTATATTTTATAATTTAAATAGCTTACCTGTTAGACTTCGTCTTTTAATATATGCCAGCAGGAGATGGCGGCACGGATATCGACACATATTAAACGTGCTACAATTGCATTCACAAATACTTACATCCACTTCGTAATGAAAGGCGCACAAAATAATGTTTGCATGCTCGTGCGTTTTACGGACAGCCGCGCTTTCAGATCGTGCGAAATCCATCACAAATGTTTCTGTTTTGGTCGTGTTACCCATTATCTCCTTGAATTTATCCAAAACCCACGTAACATCGGCACGCTTTTCTTTTTGTGTCCATACAAACATAACAGTTCGACCTCGGCCCCAATTGTCTGTCACCACTAACTGGAATAATGAATATCTACATAGTAGAACAAAACGAAAACCATATTCACTTTTTATTATTAGTTTTATAAGTAGAATCAATACACACGACTTCGGGATATTGACTGTACAGCCGTATCTGATCATAACTGCTGAAGCATATCGCCGTAATACATCCATTTTCTGCATGCTCTCTAACTTCACCGTTTTGTCGCATCATCTGCAATACCTGCTTCCGAGTCCAACCTGAAATATATTTATATACACTTACCAGTGGAGAGTTCAGCTTTCATATTTTTTACATCAGCAGCGGTCACCTGCTTACCTGTTCTTTCCTTAATACTTTCGATAACTTCGTCCGTCGACTGACAGTGCAATATAACTGGTTCCAAGTTTTCTTTTTCTTCTGATGACAATCGTTTACTCAACGGATCACAAACCATCCACGAACTAGTACACCGATGGTTGTGAGACATGTTGTAAGATTTTATAACGTATTGTTGACCCTCCAATCTTACGCGAAACATCGATTGGCAATTTAGAAATTTAGACCTTAAATGTAACACATTAGTTAGAGTCCTCACGGTTTTTTATTCACATTCAGACCTTCTGATTTACGTTCACGACCAAACGTGCAACGAAACACTACGAACAAGTATTTATATCTCACATCCTTCAACAATCTACTTTCTGCGTGAACATAGTGTGTATGGGTCATCTGAGAAAACATAGGTTTATCCTATCATACTTTAATCCAGCTTCCGAATCTCTTGTTCAGCATAATACGTTGGAACGCGTCGCTTACGTTCACTGAAATTTCACTTGAGCATGAAGCACTAGAGACAACATACAATAGTTATTAAAAAAAGGTTATTCCTTGAAAAAAATTAACTGAAGGAAGAACAACAAATATTTAGGACTTACCCTTCAGTTGACATTTCGTCTTAACTCACAAAAACTAGGCGCATCTATAACCTCTTACGTTATTTTATCTTTCTTACGTTGTTTTCTGGACCTTATCAACAAATTATATATAGCTGTTGACTTTCACTACAGCACTTAGGACCACAGATCAAGTTTCGAAGGAACAACAGAGCTAAAGTGTGCACTACAAAACAGAAAATACTCAGTTAATGCTCTTAGCAGTTATTTAGTGTTTATTATGCATCAAAAGATGACTTATATATGGAAACATTTAATACTCATAGGACCCAACACACACACGGCAATTGAAATACGGAATGCCCGCTTCCAGTCAGCGCGTTCAAGGTCGTTGAAACGAAACGGCGGACAGATTTGAAAGGGATTACCGTTTATACCTTGCCCCTTTCATATGCTGTACTAAGGAAAATGCGATAACAGCAACAACCAGTCCCTGTTAGAAGAAATTTTCTAAAAATTCAGTTCTCAGGTTTTTTTCAGTCTACTTTGGGTGCATTAAAGTCTCCTAGATTAGATAGCGACCACTTTGTGACCAAGTATTGAAACTGTCTAACAAATGGTTGTGGACGGAGTAGAAGAAGCTTTCGCTTAACAGGCTTCCGTGTCTAGTAACAGGGGATCACCAAATCCTCCAGGCAGGAACCTAGGTATGTTAACAATAAAAGAGGGAAAGAAATTGGTAAATCATAGTGTGATGCTGTCCTTGGTTCTTAAGAATAGGTCAAGTTGCCTCTTGAAGGACTCCTGAGAAGTCGCTTGGACTAGCTCGGCCGGCAGCGAATTCCAGCATTTGACAACTCTTAAGGAGTAGAAGTTGTGTCTACATTCCGTCTTGCTATGTTGTGTTTCCAGTTTCTGGGTGTTACCCCTTAGGTTATTATTCGAACTAAGCTTAAGTAGGTGTTTAAGAGGATGTCCAGAAGTGTTAAGAATACTATAAGCCATTAATAAATCACCTCTAAGAAGCCTATATTCTAGTGGGTAAAGGTCTAGTGAACGGAGGCGTTCTTCGTAAGGCTTAGATTTGAGTCCTCGAACTGATTTCGTGGCTCGCCGTTGGATACGCTCTAATTTAGTCCTTAGCCTGAACTGCGGAAGACCACATCAATCAGCAGCTTTTGTGCCCTGGATCTGAGATGGCAACTAACTAATTCACATGTCTCAGTCTCATGGAATACATTGTCCGTAATAGTAGATGGGATAGTATTCCTAATGCTAAGAGCTATTTCTTCTCTTACGCTTCTGGATTCTGTCGGCTCTTTCTAACGCGAAACCTTAGAAACCAAGTTTCATACTATCTATAGGCTGCGTCAGCCAAGTTTCTGAGACTGCGATTACGTCTGACTCGTTACACCCAGTTCTGATAGCATATTTAGCAAGCTTCGGGCATTAGTATGAGAGTTCCGAAGCCTAATTAAATGGCTTTGTCCTGCACGCATAATATCGTCGGCACCATTATATGTCGAAGCCTCACAACTGAAAAATTTATAATTTGTAGGTCATTTTCGCCAGCATCTAACCTAAGTTTCAGTTCTTTTTCGGCTTCTTATTTTTTACACGGCTTGCGTTGCAAGTTCATAAGGACAAAAACTCCTGACCTATCCTGTTCACTCTGTAATATTAAGTCTTATTCATTAAGACATTTAAACACTACTTGAAGCAGCCTGGTTTGACTTTTTTATATTTTATTCTATCCTGTTTGGATAGACCATGTACAGATTCGTTCAAAAGACAATATTTGGTTGCTTTATAACATAGAGTGCTCCCAATTCTGAAAGAGTGCTTCAATTCACAATCAACAATGCACAACTCCAGTCAATACAAGCAACACAACCAAAAGGAGGGACAACACAATTATGGCTGCCGCCAAGACTATCAACTAAAACAACATAAATGCAGTTCAGGAAGAAACATGGAAACTATAATAAAATACAAACATCACGAACTCAAATGGAATCAAAGAGACTAACAAAATGTACAACTAAAGGAATCAGTAGGAACAAAATGCAAGTGTATACATCGAGGGATTTTCACACACAAAAGATTCAAAATGGAACTTACACAGAGTCAGAGGAAAATTCCTTTCTTGGGATTTTATTTTGGACAGACCTTTTAGAAGTCGGTCATTTGATCATTCTTTGATCGATTTCAGTTAGCTGTTACCGAGACAATTCGAGGTTGCTGCACACCAATTCATGCAAATACACTTTTTATCAGCATTTAAAACTGAAATGGCCTTGGTTAGCAAGTTGTTTGCGTCATAGGAGCATTGCCAACAAAACCACATACAAACATTTTTATTAAACCGTTTGAGAGCTGTAGGTGTTATATTCGTGAGAACTTCACTGTACTATCCTTTTCATTTGTCACATCTCATGCCAATATCAACGAGGTATCGACAGCCTGGGTGTTGGCGATTGCTTTTCTTCCACTGTCCAGCCATGAAACAAATTTTCAAAAAGAAACTAGATACGATAATGCCTAGAGACAAAAGGAACAGATGATAAAGATGTGAAAAACTGTAAATTGTTAGAACCGAAAGTGCTTAAAAATACAGTAGATACAATGTACTCAAAAATATCAGCGATAAATTACTTAAGAAAAGAAACGATACTCCTAGCGCTACAGTCAAATCTATTCTTTTTTGAGACTTCGGCGGAGCATTCTGTGACTCAAAATGTGCGTTTACCGAAGACCTATCAACCGAACTGACGCTATTTGTAGCTTTTTTTCCAGCTCTTCTTTGATTCCGCACGATCCTGTTCATATCTTTGAGTGGAGCTGACAAATTTATGAGGATTTAAAGAGCAAAAAATGACGAAATAGACGAGATCATCACGTACGTGCTAATCAACTAAACCAAGAGTACTTTAAAAAGGATTCGAAGAAAATTCTAAACTTTAACCGAAATAATTCAAGTTGAAGTCGAACAAGTATGCTGTTGATGCAATAAATATACAAAAGCAAAGTCAGTGCACATCACGTGAGAAACCATTGCCCATTTTTAAAACTCTCTATAGTCTACTTCTTCAGCGTAATAACAGTTTTCTCGAAAATATTTTAGTATATAGGACCACAATAATAGTGTCAAACAGAATGAGTTTTATTAAGAGATTATGGCTTACATAAATTTATTTTTCTCACAAATGTTAGTAACTGTTCATTTGATAGGTAATTTCCTCGTAGAATTTCATTTTATCAAAGTTGTTACACACTGGTAGAGTATCATGCGAAAATACTGCTTAGCATGAACATTTTCATAGTTATCTGGTGTCAAAGTGCCAAGTCACTGATATAGAACACGTTGTATTAATGACAGTCTCTGATAAACAACTGACCAGCCAGTGATTCCTCAATTTCAACAAATCCTTTCGAAAATCTGAAACTATAAATAAACATGAGGAAAAACATAATCATTGAAACTTTGTTATTTATTTTACATAATCAAACTCAACACATTAACTCCATGTCTTATTTTGTTACTATGATTATCTGAAGGTGTTATCGTACTACTGATTTTTCAGTAGTTCATTATTTCGATGTATGCACCATTATCATTGGGAAAACCTATATTAAACTTTTTTGAAACCACTATATTATCATCACATCTGGAAGATAATTATATTAAGTGACGAATAACAGGAATCCAGAATAAGATCTTCACCTTAAATGGGACCTGTCAACCTCGAAACCCTAAAAAGTGCCCAATGTTAGTATTTGTAGAGGCATCAGTTCATTCTGATTCCTTCAAAGTTTCGAACCTTATTATAAAGGCCAATGAATCTTTATAGATAGCTATCGCACACTATGTATTGCTTAATAATGTTGTTCAACGTTTATACTCACACAAAAATAAGCTACAGACATGTGATGAATAGGATCAGAAGTGTACACACATGCGCTTACATAAAAAGTCACGGTTGATAAGTAAATAATTAACACGATCAAAATGTGACTCAGGCAGAATGAATAAATCGGCCTGTCCGAAAGCTAGAATAAGGTATGTAGGTTTGACATAATAACCGACACTACGGAAACATGAAAATCACAACGAGGGAGTAGTTTATACGAATGCCACCTAGTCGATATTTTATACCTGGCTTACTAATGAACTTGATGAGTCGCAATAAATAACCTAAGGTTTGTCTATTGTCTATTGGAATTAGAACCATGTTAGGGATGGAGTAGTGGTATTGCCTATTGGCAGTTTGCTGTGCCTATAATATCCCAAGTGATAGGTACCAAGGGGTTAAGATGATGAGTTGTAGTTATGTAGAGTATATCAGTGAAGGTAACAATGAGTAGCAACTGAACACGGGGAGATGTAACTGCTGTGATCAATACATTGTAGAAACCTGTTCTGGAAATAAAGCCTATTGAAGATGCCACGGGTATTCGGAGTTTGACAACGCTTATGCCAGTAACACTTTCTACCATTAATCGTACTCACCAAGTGAAATCAAAAGACAGAAGCGAGGAGGTTCGAAGATATATTTGATAGGCTATCAATATATTGAGGATCGTCTGATCTAATCTGGCTAGCGCTTGCAAGGGTTGTTGAGCACGGCATTCCCACTCGTGATCTGGTGCGGATGCATGACCGAGCGCCTACAGCTAGGTGAGTCCATTAAAACGAATATGGTCAGCATCTAATGTGGAAGACTTACAGAGCTACTTCTTTTGGGGATTTATTTAGCTCTACAATATATTTGGAAGATTTTCGATGCGTTTAGATGCATGTGACATAAGCTGACTAGTAATTGCAAGGGATATGTAGCACGAGTTATTCACTTGTGATCTGGTGCTGGATGCGTTATTAGGCATCTTCATATAGCAGTCCTTGAGGCTCAAAAACATACTGACTCAATATGCGACGAGACTAGCCAAGACGGATGGTGATTCTAGTCCCCGGCTAATGAGGATAGCTTTCCCATCCTCCCATATGGTGGCTGCAACTCAGGAGGCATTTTATGCCAACAGACGTCGGTTGCGAACTGGAATCCATATGCACCCGGATAGACCACATGACGCCAGGATCAAGTGCAAAGGCAAGTTGAAGCTGACCATTCCACTTGTGGTCTGTTTTGATCATACAAAAACGTGCAAAGGTCAGGGACTATCAACTCGGAAAATCTTGTATAGGTAGGCTACCTGTCTATTCACATGAGGCTCATACAGACGAACAGGAAGGAGGAACTCACGCGCTTCAAATTGAAAGCATGAACTGCTTATACATGGGCGCCGCGAGTTTAACAAATAAAATAGATGGGCTAAGTGAAATTAGCAATGTTAATAATGCTTATGTCATAGGAATATCTGAAACTTTGATATCACAGTTTACGGGCGAGGAGCTAGCAATACCTGATATGTCTTTGTTTCGCAATGACAGAAAGACAGAAATTGGGGGTGGAGTGCCCTTATACTTACGATCACGCCTGGAAGTACATCAAGCGCACAAACAAGAGTTTATCAGTCCCGGTTAATCCGTATGGTGCTCTGTAAGATTGTCTACCACCTCAAGATGTCTAGTCGGGGTCATCTACAGGAAGCTCACTGCTGACATCGAGTATGATAGTCGTATGCTGGAAGGACTACCCCGCTCTACGCGTCTCGGATTCACTCATATCCTGATTCTAGGGGACTTCAATCTTCGTAACGTTAATTTCGCGGAACATACATATATTGGAGGTGAAAACTCAACCGAAGCCCGGTTTTTCAACCTCACTGAGGATCTGGTGTTATACGAAAATGTGAAGTCGGCAACTAGTTGGTGAAACAGTCAGACGCCGTCGCGCTTAAACTGGGTATTTACAAACGATGAATCCCTAGTTGACAACCTCTCAATTCTGGCTCCCCTGGGAAAAAGCGATTACGCCGTCATAACCTTCAGTTTTGTTAACAAAACTGAGCTAAGATATCCCACCTTCAACAAGCAATGGAAGTTCAAACGGTTGGAGGTGTCAGCTCTACAGGACTATCTAAAACAGGTGGGTCGGGATGTTCACGCTCAACTTGATGTGGATACTCATTGAAATTTCTCACTGCACACGCTCTAGTGTGCTACAAAGCAGTCTGTTCTTCAAAGGGTTCCCAAAATCTACAAGCAATCTACAATCATCAAGAACAGCACTCTTCGTCGGGCAGAATACAAACGAACTGATAACAACGGCGCGAACAGGCAATACAAAAATATAAGGAACAAATGCACGAAGGCTATAAGAGAAGACAGGCCTCATTGTCAGATAAAGCTTATGCATAAATTTGTCTCCAATACGGTAAACTTATTCCGTTATGCAGCCTCTCTTCGACAAGCCAAAACTGGAGTTTCCCAACTGCTAGGTCTTAGTGGCCCGACAAAAAACGATGACGACGCCGCTAACCTTTTGGCTGAACAATACTCTCGGACATTTCAACCGACCCACATCAACTATATTGATGAAAGCTTCATCTGCAACTGCACAGGACTTTCTGATGTAAACCTGAGCTCTGACTTGGTGTCCCGGAAACCGCAGCACCTAAGAAAAGACACTTCACCTGGCCCATATATGGTTCATTCTGCTACACTGAGGGAAGCAGCTTCAGTCCTGGCATCGCCGCTTAGCGTGATGTTCTCACACTCGCTAAGTCGAAGCAAACTACCGGAAATTTGGAGGCTGCTCACATCACACCAATTTTCAAAGGAGGTCGATGCAGCGAACCTTCAAGCTACCAACCGGTGGCTCTTCTCTCTATACCTTCAAAAATCATGGAGTCCCTGATATGCGATGATATATATGAATATTTACTGTCCTTAAATTTCTTCTCACCCCAACAATATGGCTTCAGGAAGGGTCGTTCTTGTATAGCCTACCTGCTGACTGCGGTGGACAGATCAACATGGATCCTTGGTTTCAAGGGGAAGGTTGACATCATTTACCACGACCTCTCAAAAGCTTTTGATAGAGTCAACCATGTATGTCATATCAATAAGCTCAAACGACTGGGTATCAGATCACCTATGACTGACTCACTTCATATCTGAAAAATTGACATTTTAAGGTCAGGGTTAACTTCACTTTCTCTCAGGCTATGGAATGTCCTAGTGGGGTCCCCCAGGCCTCAGTACTAATACCTCTTCCCTCCTTTATTTATATAAGTGATCTTTCACAACAGGTAACGTCAGACTCATTACTGTTTGCTGATGATGTGAAACTCTGGAGAGAGATACGCAACCAAGACGATATACAGGCACTTTAAGAGGTTCTGACTCGACTTCAGAGTTGGGCAGACGATAACGGACTTACTTTTAACCCTTCAAAGTGTAAAATAGTCCATCTGCGACATACTGTAGACTACAGTTAAGACTTAAGAAACTCCTCTCTAACAGTATCCCGAGTCGAAAAAGATTTATGAGTCCTGGTACCCTATGATTTAAAGTCTTACGTTAAATGTGACAGAAACGCCTTTCGAGCAAACCTTGCACTCGTAACATTGAAGCGCATTTTTGGCCAGTTTGACAGAAGAACTTTCCATATAATCTTCAATAGTTTTATTCGTCCCCATTTAGAGTACGGAAACATAGTATTTCCTCCATAACTCCAAAAGGATAAGGACACTCTGGAGCGTATCCAACGGCGAGCCACGAAATCAATTCGGGAACTCAAATTCAAATCTTATGAAAAACGCCTCCAATCACTTAACCTTTACCCATTAGAGTATAGGCGTCCTAGAGGTGCCCTCCTAATGGCTTACAGTATCCTTAACACTTCTGGATATCCTCATAAACACCTACTTAAGCTTAGCTCCAACACTAACCTAAGGGTTAACACCCAGAAATCGGAGATACAACATAGTAGAACGGACTGTGGACACAGCTTCCACTCCTTAAGAGTTGTCAAATGCTGGAATTCGCTGCCGGCTGATCTAGTCCAAACGACTTCTCAGGAGTCCTTTAAGAGGCAACTTGATCTATTCTTAAGGTCTAAGGATAGTATCATACTATGATTTACCACTTTGTTTTTCCTCTTTTATCGTTAACATACCTAAGTTCGGGCCCGGAGTTATTCGTGATCCCCTGCTACTAGAAACGGAAGCCTGTTAAGCGAAAGCGTCTTCTGTCCCGTCCACAACCGTTTGAACCATTTGAATGAGATTTTGAGGGTTGAAGGTCGCACAAGTTCGAAATGTCCTTCGGGAGATTATGTAGGTTTTCAGTCGTCAAGCTCTTCCTGAGAGTTAATAGTCCGACAGACTTAATCCTTAGGCCGTTAGGAACAAATGCTTCAACGGAACAAGCCATATATCAATCACAAGTGCGGTCAGTTCCAAATACAAAAAGTACGTAATAAATAGCTATGAAAATGATCTAATTTTTCTGTATCTGTGAATTAAAGATAACTGTGCAAAAGTTTATTTTTAGCAAAAGCTCTTATATCCTTCTATAATCTTCTAATTCCTAGTGTGTTATCTTCAGTCTTCAGTAATGAGGATTGTAGGTCAGTTTACTTGTGTCAAACTTTGCTGCTTATTTCCCATTAAAAATCCAGCTTCTCTTCAAAAGTGTTAGCTGATAAGACTGACACCGCGTGTTCTGTTAGGGAGTTTCAGTTATCGACAAGGAAAACGGATTCTCACTCAGTTTATTTGATTTATGTTTTTTGAACCTTATTGGCTTGGATATGAATGTTCTTGGAGGGAGAAAAAACATTGGTCATGTTAGCACTCAACTCGTCATTTGGGATGCAACGTATCAGTATGGCGTTACCTCACGTTCTGCCATAAGGGTAAAAGTTGTCAGCGTTTTGCGATTTCATAGCAAGGAAATCTGAGAATACCTGACTCTAACTTAGTCCTCACACGTTGAACACGCTCAAAAGTGATGGTATACCTAGTAATACATGGGCTGGATGCCCAAATGCAGTACTCTTAGTGAGGTCTCACACATGTGGGGTATACAATTTAAAGCATATCTACGTCAAAACATTTGGACTCTCAACTAAATGACTAGAGCACCCTAATGCTTTTGGCGGCTGTTACATTGTAATGCGTAGTTGTTTTCAAGTCATGATCCAATATCACTATATTCTTTACCTGCATGCGTGGAAGTGTATGATGGTAGCTATTACTGCGTCCGATGTGCATTAGCAAACTTTCTAGAATTAATTTAGGAACCCAAACTTTGGGATCGTTTTACTTATTTTCTAGATCAGCTTGAAAACCAACATAATCAGCCTGACCACTTGTTTCGCAAATTTTGGCGTTCTCTGCAAACAAAAGGATCGACGACCTAAACATCTTGATAATTCATTTAAATAGAGAAGACAAAATAGGGGACATGAGTTGGTAGCTTTGATTACTCCACTTTTATCTGGTTTAACTCAGATAGTGCCCCATTCGCTCTCACCCTATGTCTTTGGACACAGGGAAGATCTCGTAACCAGTGTTTAATGGCACCTGTTATTCCAACGCTGGAGAGCTTCTACATAAGTCCCAAATGAGACACCTTTGAATAAGTCGGTGAATATCATATCAAGAGACAAACCGCTGCTTTTGTCTTCTGTCCAGTCCTTTCTCACAACTAATGAGTTAAGCATGAATGTTTATTTTGAAACCCATGTTGTTAAGAAGTCAACAGATTGTGTGGTTGTGCTTGAATTAGCAACTTCGTTCGAATTATTTTTCCATATATCTTAACCGCATTGCTAGTTACGCTGATAAGTTGGTGTTTAGGCTCAGTCTTTCTCTTATCATGTTCCTTTGGTTAAGGTATATTTTGAACAGCATCGTGAGTAGTTCCGAAAGTGTCCACGAGGGATGACAGCAATTGTGTGTATAACCTGTTAGGACCCGGTGACCTACTAGATTCAAGGTTAGTAAACGTTCTCAGTCACAAATACTGGTCCTGTAACTGGCATCGCAGTAGTGCGGTTATGGAAGGTGTTGGCAAGAATACTTGTAGTGAAGATCTTGTCAAATTCTAAATACTAGGTGAAGCAGCATTCATCTCACAGTTGTAGGTTGGTAAACGTAAATGGACTTTGATAACGTCCTGGATGGACGGAAACAAAAACAAAAATGGACTAAAGTGTCTCAGATTTTGTCTAATAAAGTTTAATCGGTTTGCAAATAATCAGGGTTTGTGAGATGAGTAAACATCGGACTACTGTGTTCCTTAAAGATACTAGATTCAACACGACCTTAGAGACAAACGATTACAGATGGATGGCGTAATAGTAAATCGAACACCTTAGGGAGCTTGCTAGTTCCCCATAGACTGTTTTGCTGGGACAAGTTGAACTTAATATTGAGTGCTCTTAATTTTACTAAAAACAGTGATCGTGACAGACTTAAAGTCGTGAAGAACAGGTGGTCCTGTTATTTTTAGGAGTTTTTATTGAGCTTCAACATTGTTAAATTACTGGGTATTGTGGGTGTAGTTTTAAATCACAGTTCCTGATTAATCTTAATCATCGTAGTATAACATGTAAGCTTTTTAATTGAAGTCAATTGTTAAATATGAAGTTAGTCATCAACACCTAAAATGCCACATTCCAAAGGCAGAAAGTAAAAGAGTCAGACTAAAGTAAACATAGAACCGGGGATGGAAGGTAAATATCATGGTTATTCGAAACGCTTGGCGACAACTAGGATAGAGAACCCAGGACAGAGTTGGTTAAAGATCCTTGGTCAGCGGTCTATGCCTCTAGTGGAGTAACAGGCGTTAGGATATATCCTTACTATTTATGTTTTCCAGTTGTGTAAATGTTCTTTTCATCGCACTGATTAAATGGATTAGAATGAATTTTAATGGTTCAAAGAAATCCCATTTTATTTCATATGAATACTTTGCACTCCAACTTTGCTTGCTCACATAATTTCTCAGGACTACTTAATAACTACAAAGTATAATATAAAACTGCAATATGTCTCTGTTCATAAAAAAAGTTAGCTAACAATGTACGTCTCTAACAGCCAAATGTATTGTTCATTTGTTTGTTTGGTAAATATTTAGGAAATTGATATTCAGTTTACATTGGACTTACAGAATTTTGGCAATTGTCACTTTTATTTTAGTTTATGCTTTTACTTAGGTATTGGTTGTATTTTTACTGATCAATTTAATTGGCGGTGTTCTCCCATATTTCCAACTCCTCATTCCTGTTTTTCATCTCTCAGGAGAATATCTAGAAAACTTGTTACTTCAGCAACCACTTTCTTCTCCTGATGCTCGCGTTCTAAAGGTTGCCGTGATAGGCTGTCCAAATAGTGGAAAGTCCAGTTTGGTAAATATGCTTACCAAGTGGAAAGTTTGCGCGGTGTCTGGAAAAGCCCACACAACTCGGTCGAAACAGACAGCTACGTATTTTCAAGATAATGTCCAATTGGTAAGCCTGTGTGTATACAGAGGTTTTCGAAGAGTGATTTTTTGAATTAGGAACTAATGTTAGGCAATTTTCCTGTACTTTAATAATGGATAACGTTGCGGTGTATGCTACTTATGCCGACAGACAAAAGTAGCAACACCAATCACAAGTGGAATGCCTGACAACAGAAGGTTAAAAAGATCTAATTGAAGTGAACACGAATGAAGGGTTGGTGAGGTTTGTAAGAGACAATTGATGGAAGATGTGCGAATGAAGTATTTAATGTATGGTTTTCGTATTTTACAAAGACATTCTGTACCTTTGTATTAAACAATAAGTTGACCATTCTCACCAAGTCTTCGTTCACTACATGACCAACAAATAGGTTAACAGTATATTCGCTCACAAACAGTACACAAATTGAAGTGGTTTATTTCAATCACCTGTTGTTTTTAAGGATCGTAATATTGCTGAGCGAGTTTTTTTTTGTTCATCGACTGATTTTATTATTACTAGACACTGCACAATGTAGATGCTGATCTATTCCCAATGCCCGTTAAACAGCTGCATGTACCATATTTTCTTATTAAATGATGACAATGTAATGAATCGATTAACTGAGTACTCAACAGTCAATAACTAATATGGGTAGGTCATACTTCGCATATTTTTAGCTGCCTACCAGGTTCGAAAAAGCACTTATTTTTGCAATAAGTAAGGACCGAAATGAAGCCATTGGTGGGCAAATGAGTCAGTCAGTCAGTCAGCTACAACATATATGTGCATATGTGTGCATCGGTCCAAGTTGCTGTTAGCACAACATGATGAACACCGGATTCATAGAAGACTTGGTAATATGTTATCGACAAACCAACTATCGATTTTAACAGGTTAGAGTCGATAAAGATTCGCATCAGTCCATGAAGATTTTTACTGTTTAACTCAACTATGTTTATAGGTATGGACTACGCAGTTGGGATCTTTATGCTTTTCGTAACTAATAGTCAGAAACTTTGAGTGGTTCGGCTAAAATCGTTCTCAATGGCGCAGTTGTTTTAATGTTTTTCCTCCCTTGGATCCCAAGTCCCCAAACTACCTAGCAGACTTTTTTTATTTCTAACCTGCCGATCCATATCCATTTTTATAATCATATCTTCGGTAGCTAGTCCTTTCTAATACCACTTATACTGTTACTGCCTGTACTGTGGGATTTATTTCGATAATTTCATCTCGTTAAGCTGATGAGGCGTTATAACGTGAACCGAGTTACACTTATCCTAAGTTCTACAATGCGTATGATTGACTGAAGGAGTTATAGGGTACCAGTATTTGGTTCTAGATGGGTTAAAACTCATTTTAGGTACATTTTCACAATTCGACTGGAAAGAATGTGCTAAAATGTATTTTCTCTAGCACACAGAAATCGTTTGACCAAACTGTACATTTGTAATAAAGAACAATAGATGAATTTTTTATTCATATGATGAGTGAGGGAAAAAATTAGCGCTTAGCTACCAGTCTCTTAGTATATTTAATCTAATTTAATAATATACTACTGATTCAGTCTACGCAGATTTGAATGCGATTAACTTTGGGAAACGGAAGTTTTCAGTCATCGGTCCTATATGTGTGAATAACTTGTAAATCGAAAGTTTTTTAGTCAGCAGGAACACTAATGAACAGTAGTGGAAACATGTCGGTGTGTTTGTACAAATTGTTGTGTTTCCTGTTATCGGTATGATAAACATAAATGAAGGAAATTTTTGTTGGATTTGCTTGAAAGTATAACAGATTTTGTCATTATATTCAGTTTTACGCGTTCTAATCCTAATTCGTTTAAATATTACTTGTGAAAATGTTTCATCTCTCTAGGCTTTTGTCGACTTACCCGGACTTGTTAGCAGATCAAAAGCCTCCAGGTAAGGTATACTTTTGATGAGGCTTAATTCAATTGGGGCTTTCAGATTTAAACTTGAGAAAACGTTCATTCGGGATCCACATTCTGCTATTTTTGATTCTGATTTAAGTAAGTTATTCACAGAAATTGTATTTACATTTCCAAATACACTTAAGTACTCTAATCAGAACAGTTATTTTTTTAACTATTTATCCACATGACTGATTTTCCGGGGAGATCAATTTTACGTGGAGTAAATATCTCTGTTCTACTTCAATTTTTATTTTACAGAGTTCTCACTATGTAAAGTGTAATATCTCTCTAATATAGGGATAAAAAAGCGATTTACGTAATGTACGTTTCCAAATTTTAGAGACATATTTATTTATAATTGAGTTCCACTTTCGAGGTTGATTATCAAATTTTGTGGCTTGTCTCTTTTTCATTGATGTACTTTAATTTCTACTTGCACGTTTAATCAAAAAAATGTCAGCATTAACTAGTAGGAACTAAAATGCCAACAATTGTTTTCTACTTTTAGTAAATCACTGTAAACACCAGAGCTTGATTCAATTATGGTTTTCATCCTAAGACCCATCCTAACCTAGGTTCATTCTATGGGTGTGGATGCTTTTATTTTCTGACATTACTTAGTCATACATGACTCACTCAGTCAGTCAATAACAAAGTAGAACTTCGTACGTACATACATCAGTTCGAGTTGCCATACCACATTAGCACAGAGATGCAGTTGTCGATCCAAATCTCGTAGTGGTAGAGGTAATAAGAGTATAAGCAGTGATCGGGAAGATTAGGGTTTGGAGATGTTATTTAAAGAGTATAATCCAGTGAAAGAAATTTGGAAAGAGGAAAAAAGGGACATGAAGAATTCAGAATATTAGAATTTGGGAGAACACAGAGAGTGGATGCACCTGCGCCATTGCAAACGATTTTGAGCCATGTCATTCAGGGTCTCTAACCATCGGTTGCTATCATCTCGCGGTCCCCAACCAGGTAGTCTACACCTACCAACATGACTCAGTTCACTTGTCAGTGACTTCATGGACTTGTGCCATGTTTTGGTCTGGCCGCCCCTAGCTTTCTTCCAACCTATTCCTATACCACTGAACATAGCACGTCGAGGCAGTCGGTCGTTGGGCATACGTAACACGTGTCCCAGCCATCTCAACTGATGAAGTTTTACCACTTCATCAATCGATTTGCCATCCTTACCTAGTACCCGTTTCCTTACAACTGCGTTACTTACTCGATGGTTCTATATACGAGCAATGTTTCGAAGACACCTATGATCAAATACTAGTAACCTACGAATATCCTCTCACTCGACCAGTTGCGTTCGAGTAGAGAGCCTTTACAAGGTTAATGTACTTCTTTGGTACTCCTTTCAGTGACAAACACTGCCATAGAACCTCACGATCAACAGAGTCGGATGCTGCCTTGAGGTCGATAAATACTACGATTGTGGGGCTTCTGAATATGTGTCTGTGTTCCAGAACCTGACGTAGTGTGAATATGTGGTCTATACAACCACGTCCAGGTCGAGAACCAGCCTGGTTTTCTCTAGTCTGTTCTTCACGAGCTTTAGTTAGGCGTCGAAGTATTATTGAAGCTAATATTTTAGACATTATATTAGTCAAACTGATTCCTCTGTGATTGTCACAAGAGGACTTTTGTCCTTTCTTATAGACTGGCACAATCAGTGATTGAGACCAGTCAGATGGGATTACGTCCAGTTCCCAAATTCTACCTAAGACCTCGGTTAATCTCATTGCTAATACTGGACCAGCATACTTAAAAATCTCAGGAGTGAACCTGTCAGGGCCTGCTGCTCTCCCTCGTTTCAGATTTCCTATGGCTTTTTCAACTTAGTAAACAGTCGGAGGACCTACATTAACTTGCCATTCAGGTTGACTAGAGATCCTGGGAAACCGAAGTGTGGCTGAAGGCCAGTTGAACTGATCCCTAGTGTTCTGCCCATCGATCCAATCTCCTGGATTGAGAATGAATAATATGTTCATCTTTCTCTGAGATTGTTTCGCTAACGGTCGGGTTCCTAATTCCGGTTTCCTTAAGGAGTCTGAACAATTGTCTGCTATTACCTATTGCCGCTGCCTTTTCCATCTCTCTTGCTTTCGCTACCCCCCACTGTTCGCGATCATTGCGTAGACTTCTTGTCAGCTTGCTCTTAAGCTGACTCCGCTCCTCATTATGTTCAGAACCAGGTGGAATGAGTTTCCGAGCATCTATCAGTGCGATAGATGCTGCTGAGATCCAGTGTTGCTCCTTGACCTTCTGGTTTACCTTACTAGCAGATATCACTGATGTTTCCACAGCTTTTCGGATATCATTCCATGCTGCATCGGGGTGGGCATCACATACATGGCTGCCTAACTGTTTTCCTAGTTGTTCCTGAAATATGCTCTTAGTTTGACTATCATTAAACAGTACCCTAAGAGGTTTCCTCGCAGCATCTTTATTACGTCCAGTAAGACGCAGACAGATACGCGCTCGTACTAGAGCATGATTTGAATCTAAGCACGTGCTCCAGAGTGAGCGACTGTCTTCTATCGAGCCCCTCCATCGGTAGCTGATAGCGATGTGATCTATTTGGGTCCAACGTTGGGACGAATTAGGGGATCGCCATGTTAAAAGATGTTTTTCCTTATGCTTAAAGTTGGTATTTGCAAGGAACAGGCGGTTATCTGAGCATAGCTGCAACAGACAGTCGCCATTATCTGTTCTTTGAGCCACGACACCATAAGATCCACCTAGGTGTCTTTCCCTATCGCTTAGTTTACCTACTTGAGCATTAAAGTCACCGGCCACTATTACTACATCCGAGCGCTTAGCTTTTCGGAGAAGGTCCGAAAGCTTTCTGTAAAACTCATCTTTTACATCATCTGAGCTGTAGTCAGTGGGAGAATAGGCTGAGACGACGAAGAGGCAACGACGAGTGTCCCTATCTTTCCGGATTCTTACACTTCCGTTCAGTCGGACAGCGCACAAACGACTGTCTACTGATAACCAGTCTAAGAGAGCTAGTTCTGCCCTACAACTCAATGCTATACCTACGCCGGCGAGGCCACGGGAAGCAGAATCAGGGCTTCCAGATACACGAAGCGTAAATCAAGTCGGTTCTTTATTTTGGCATGGTGAGGTCAAATGAATGACGCTACTCGGATCCTGTATACGCGTTTCGGAGACGCAGCACACATCGATGGCGCGAGATTCGAAAGTCCTAGCTAAGGAAGCCTGCTGTCCTATTTGGCAAAGTGTTCGTACGTTAAAAGCTCCTACGTGTAGTTTAGAGCGTGGTTTCAGGAGACC